AGGAGAGATATCAGAAGTCTGGCGACATATCAGTGACAGTGTGATTCCAAGGAATATAATTAGAGTACTCCATAAATGTTTGCAATAGAAGAACAACCTATAGAGGCATGCAAACACATTTGACCCTCCGGTAGAGTTGTGTATGGCCCCCATATCTTGCAGGGCTTGAGGAAATAACTAAAAATTCCAAAGCGTAAGATTCCATAAGCGGTTTTGTTTGTAAAAGGGCACAAAACACGTCAGACATACTTAAAACAGCTTTGGAAAATGAGGATTACGGGTCACTCACTACACCTGTGTTATATTTGGTTCATCAACTTTTGGTAGTACTATAGAAGAAATTCAGGAAAGGGTATAGTCATGATACACGATAAAATACTGTTATATATTTTAGCCAACTTTAATCTAGACCAGGGATGTCAAACTCGCGGCCCCAGAGAACTTCCAGTGCGGCCCTCGAACGCCTAACAATAATTCTAATAGTATTTTGGAAGTTTTTTTTATCTAAATGTAATAGATTTTTCAAACCTTTTAAAGTGAAATTGATTATTCACACAGAAAACAATTTACTGAAAGTAGTTTTGGAAAATCAAATTTTTTGTTCACATTTTGACCCAATTAAGAATACACATCAAGCTAGCAAAAGAATACTTGAATAAAACACTTGATAATAAATTAAACGCAAGTACATGAAGAAGGTGGCATTTTCGAAGAAATAGGAGTTGCAATATTTCTGCATTTCAAAAAATTCTGAAGCAAAGAAGAATTCTGTTTAATTTGTCATATTTCCATCAGTACAATGAAAAAACACAATAAGCTCAGCAGTCAATATGACAAATTCGAAGAGCAACTTCGAACAGAAAGTTTCCATGTGTTTGTATATTAATATAATTATACAACGACTTAGTTATTAAAAATCAATAATAATTCAAGCAATCCTATGCCACGCAATGTGGCGCGAAATGTCTTGTCGAAAAAATCTGTCATTTGTTTTTTACTGATCTATACATGAAATGATAAAAGTAACTTTTTTTGCATTACTGGAATTATTTAAGCATTCGCAAAGATCCAGATTAACCCATGATCATGTGACCTCGTGAGTTAGAGTTGGTACTATAAAATCATTTCAGCCTGGCCTTAGTATGCTGGTGACACATAAAAGATGCCAAACGTCAGGACAAATGTAATTAAAAAGACATTGAGTTTATACTGTAGTATTTTTGTCAATTTTAGGTCCATATATTTCGATTAAGTGTATGTATTATTCTTTCCTTATCCAAAGCTTGTTCAAAAATGATTTTGATGGTTGTACATGGAATTTTATGATCTTTTGTAAAAAATACAGTAACTTGCAATAATAGTGGAATGCAAATATTAATATGTAATTGCATTTGAAATTGAAGAAAACAATAAAACTTAATTCAACTGTTTAGTTGCATCACAATGTATGTCACAAACTGAAACTATCTTTCAAGTATACATTATCAAAAACTGTTTGCGGCCCTTTATACAATTTTCAAAATGCAATGCGGCTCTCGAAAACCCATGTGTTTGACACCACTAATCTACTCTACACGATTCAAGCATTGCTTTGGGAAATAATATCACTTTAAATAAATTGAAAAAAATCTCGCTATATTAAATACAAAATCGTTGCTATCATAAAGGTAAACCAATTCACCCACTCGGAATATATTGGCCCTCACAAAGCAATGGGGGCAAAATTGGGAGTTTATGAGCTATGAACTTTTGTTCTTTTCTTTGTCTTGAACTTTCCATACTCCACAGCCCCTATTATTATTTTTTTTTAATTTTAATTACCATGTGATGGTCATATACATCTTTAACTTGTATTTTCTGTCATGGTGTATTATCTCAATGTGTCAAACTTTTAATTAGTGTGCATATTTTGCTTCCAGATGACATAAATGTATTGTCTTGTTTATTACCTCATCTTCGAGTATTGACAAGGAAAAGGTGCCAGTAAATTACGTAAAAAATCGGAGGAAGGCAAAACATATAGGTAGTTCCCATTCACACAAGTCTTTCAAGAGGACTTGCTCGAGCCAAACTAAATGAGCATTGTCAGGTGATCGGTAAGGCTGAAAGTTGAATTTAGCCCTGCAACCTCCTGCATCGAAGATAATATTAATTAGTGAGCTATGAGCTAAATTTAGACACAAACCGGGGCATTATGTACCAGAAATGTTACCTACGATTAGCTGAATATGTAATATGTCTAAGAAATTCACCTACTAAAACAAGCAGTTCGATAGGTGCAAACATTGTGTTATGGAATTGTATCACAGCACCGTAAAAAGAAGTAAAAACAGTTTTGCTGTTTTGTATGACACCCTCTTTGAATGAAATTTCAATGTTCAAGCGCAAACATTAAAATTATTAACTTTGAACTTTGTCATTATCTGCAAAATGTTCCAAACATATCTTTACGCTATCGCGTTTGTAATCTTCTCTGATAAAAAAAAACGTCTATGATGTGCAGAATTACTCTTCGCAGCTTGTCTGCAATTCCAGCTTTCCAAGTGAGCAAAACTTCTTAGATATAAGGATTATTTTCTTTTGTTACAGGCGCAAAAAGGCAGGTACTACACGTAAAGAAAACGCCGAGTAGCAAAAGCGAGCGGAAAACGGTCGCGAAAGGCGACGAGAAATATGTGCATTGAAGCGTATCATGAAATACAATCTTTTGCCTGTAGCCTTATGGAGTGACGTCAGAGTTGCCTATCATGTTGTTTAATGTCATTGGTATCACGTAAAGCTTAACTTACTAACACGTAAAATGTTACGTGTAAATAACCCAAATATATCAGTCTGAATATATTTCAAAAATGCTTGACATAAACAGACAAACCAATAAACAGTAATGATAATAGAAGCATTGAAGCAGAATATCAACATTAGCCGACTACATTGAATCATAAAAAAGTAGAGATACGAACACACATAGAAACAAAATCCCGATTAATTAACGATAGAAAAAAGAATTATGAGATAAAATTTACCACACAGTTTTACTGGGAAGGAAATACGCGGGGAGCCAAAGCTGGTTATCAAGACCAAGCGAGAAAGCATTTCAGCCAATTATAATGAACTATGCAATTCATGAGTCCTGTTGCACACTAACACATATTTATTTCTGTAACGTTTCGTCTGACCAAAATCAGACTTTCTCAGACAAGCAGTTGTCATTGTTGTATGTTACACAATGTGTTAGTGTGCAGCAGGACTCTTGAATTGCATAGTATGGTATTTTTATTTCTGCTACAGCATTCTTGCATCATATGCATACAGATTCACTAGCGCAGCGTTTCCCAACCTTTTTTGGTCGCGGACTGATTTCTCAACGGCGAAAACCTTTGCGGATTCAAGGTGCGCTTAGCCGCTTATTGTAACCGTACTCTGTGTGAAGAAGCAATAAAATCAAACACAACGGAATTTGAACGAATTTCAAAATCAGAATTTCGCCGCAATTACGCGTCCGTTAAAACAGTGGACTTTTTAGTGTTTTAGGCTTTTTCTATCGCACTATATTCAATACATGACAACGACGAGAATTTAAATTGTCTTTCTATTTTAATTGTGTTCATGGTAACTCGCGGTTGCGTCGACTTACGACAAGATGATAGCATTACTTCTTTAAAATGCCACGGCAATCTGCTAACATATTGCCCGATTATATTTAGGTTTGATACATACTTTTAGAGATCTTGCAAATTTGTTGTTATACTTAAAGTATATTTGTAAATCAAAAATACATATTCACCACCTTGCTTTATTATTAATTTAATGGTTACCATTTTAATCTGCGGTTGAGTTGACGAAATAAAAGCAATACTAATCAGAAAATATCATGACAATCAGTGGACACAAAATGCGTGGTAAAGTGCCCGATTATATTTTGTTTTGATTCGTATTTTTGTGAATTCAACAAATCTGAACTGTTCGTACAACACTTACGGCGCTCCAGTACTGTACGTACCAATGTGGAGGCCTAAGGGAAAATGCCCCGGTACATATACTACCAGGGCTACTCAACTATTTTTTACCGAAGGTCCGCATACAAAACTTCAAAAATATTTGGGTCCGGACTTTCCAGAAATTATATTTCGGCATCCTTAAACATGCAATTCCTCTGCCGACCATGATTATTAGCTAATCAAGATTGTTTGTTATGGCGTTATAGTTCTTTTCATATATATTTTCCAAACTATAAAAGTGATTTTATAAAAGGAAATGTCAAAAGTGGGGCTAATGACCCAAAATAAAGAATTATGCGCGGTCCGAATCGAATACCCGAAAGGTCCGGATTCGGACCGCGTACGCCAGTTGAGTAGCCTTGTACTACAGTATCCCCGAAATTTTGCGATTTGCAATGTTCAAAGAAGCGTTTTCAATCGGTCGCGTACAATCATAAAACAAAAGTTATGGTGTTCTCTGTTTTATTTCTAGTATTTTGTATTGCCGCTTTTCAATTTAGAAAATTTGGGTTGCCACCATTGACACATACTAGAAAAAAAATGATTCCTCGTTGTTCGAACTCGCGAGAAACACCACGCGTGTGCGCAAGTGAGTTGTGAAATCCAATTGTTTTGACCTGTCGCGCCACCCGTTACCAAATTTTCGAATAGTGAATTGCTATTCTAATAGTTGAATATTCGAATATATGCCCAGCCATACTCAGTAACTAGTAATAATTGACTTGATTAATGTTAAGTGAATAAACTTGCCTTTTATGTTTTATGTGAATTTTAACATAAATCGTAACTTCACTGATATTTAACTTTTGCAAAAACGTTTGCGGCCTCAGTGAATTTCTGGCGCGTTGCGGACTCATTCAAAAGCTTCGCTGACTCATTTGAGACCGCGACTCGGGTTGGGAAACACTGCACTAGCGCAAAGGCATTGAGAAGAATTGGGAGTTAGTCTCGTGCAACCTCTACCGATAATTATAATGAATCTTGTTCTTTTTTTGAACTCCGTTCGTTTCTACTCATGAAAAATGACTTGCTGTAAAGCACTTCCATGGTCCCCACAAACTAGATCAGCTTTTCCATCTCCATTTAAATCTTCTACGTTAAGTACTTCATGTAACTTTTGACAGATCGGTCGTTGTCCCCTCCAGTCAGCAGCATTACTGAATGATCCTCCATGATTTATTAAAATTTCAATATTTCTTAAATGAACAAGACAAGGTTGAATATGAGATTTAATTGTTCAAGCCCAAACCGTGATAGCACTTGCTAAATTGCAACCCGACTCGACTAACACTGAACATATAATTCATTAAATTGGAGCAGTATATATATAAAACACGATAAAATAAGAAAGCACCTCAATGAAACTGAACAACTGAATGGAGCGTAGCGAGGTCCTAACACTATTGACAGCATAAATCCTATGCCATCAAGCATGTCAGAAATTCATTACATTCTCTATGCCAAAGAACTCGCTAAACTTCCTATGTCATAGGAAATATCACTAGTAACTTACTTTGTATTTGTATTCCTGCATATTAAGTCATCCATACCATCACCTGTGACATCTCGAGCAAATACATCATCAAAATGAAGACATGCACTCGTATGACCTGCCCAGTCTAGTTTTTCAGAAACTCCACTTCTGGATGAAAAATACAGCCCTCTAAAGAAATAACAGAAGTTAGATTCAATAACACAAGCGGTGAATAATACGTTTTCGTATGTTGGGATGTATATATAAATAACACAAATATCAGCACTCGTTAGGAGTAAAGTGCAAAATTAGTGGAGGAACATAATTGAAAACTAAGTTTATTACATCACATGGTGCACAAAACATCAACATAAGTGAATTGCACATAGCACAGAGATAGGTGAAGAGATGTTGCTTACAGTCTTTTTTATACAATGCTTATCACGTCTTTTGCTGCGAACAAGGCACTGTACAAAAGCTTCGAATATCTAACAATATGTAAGAAGCTACTATTCCTGTTTGAGCGAAATTCCAATGACAGAACAGATTTTTAGGCTTGGTGACATGGGCATGGGATTTCAACCAGAGTTGTGTAACTTGCAATTCCAGCATAGTTGAGTCTAAGCTCTGAGGCTTTCACCTCTAGGCCATTGTTTCCCAAACTTTTTGGGCCGCGGACCCCTATATGAGAATCCTAATTTTGACGGAACCCCCGTACGCTTTGCCGTATCAATTTCAGTGCCAAAGAGCAAAGATAATGTTTCATTTACAACACAAACGACATTAATGTGATGAATTAGGTTGCTTTTCACTGCACAATTTTTCGATTCTCGGAGCAATTTGTGACAAGCAAACCTACAGATCGGACGGCAAGGGTCGGCCTGTATTTTATCATCATATTATACGAGTGGAAATGCTGCCTCAGGAATGTAGGTTGTTGCAAAAGGATTTTAATTGCCTTTTGAGAGCAATGGATATTCGTCCGCAACGCCCAACCAAAAATGTGCAATTTCTCTTTAATTGAAATCAATCATTAAATATCGATCTGACATTTTCATGTCGTTGCGGACATCTGCAGTTGTCACGGACCCCAGTTTGGGAAACCCTGCTCTAGGCCCAGGTTCTCAACCAGTGGGCCATGGCTCACTCTTGGGCCACATTAACGATTTCAGGTGGGCCACAAATCTATTGAAAATTGCAAGAGTTATTGCTAAATTTAGTTTTGAAAGTGTCAATTCTTGTAGTTTTAACCTGGCATGGAAATGTAATTAAGCCACAGAAACGGTTGAAAACCACTGCTCTAGGCACTTCCACACAGTTAACGGGAATTTCTGACATTAAATAATCAAGCATGATTCACATTAGCAGGATACTCACATGTTTCCATCTTTATAATAGCAAAGAAAATCTTCAAATTTATCATCATTGAAATAGCCAGTCATTAATTTCCCATGCGGACAAAAGTTTTTAAATCTCAACCATGTAGTTTTGAATAAGTCCTTATTAGGCAGAGGAGTGGAAGATGGGTCTTCCTCTCCGAAGTAGTCAGAAACATAATCTCCATATTCAGAGAAATCATCTAAAAAATGAACATATATAAATACGACACAGTTCCATAATGGTACAGATCTTCTGTAATTTACCAGTGCGCTGCATCATACATGATAAAATATACCGTTTTCAATAAAATGAATGATAAAAAGTACATGGTTTATGAAAAACCATTGCAATATACATACGAAGACAAAAGGGTCAAAATAATTTAGTTGAGTTGATCTCAACATTGAAGCTTTTCCCAATTGCAACCCTAACTGTATAAATTCAGAGCCTATTTGAACTTATTGTAAAATTTTGATAATATCGTACAAGTTAAACGAGAATATCGGTCAGAGACCGAAGACTTATCGATCGAAAGTTAGGGGATCCCCAAAACAGCGCTCTTTCTCCATAGTGACACCTTGTGTCCCATCAATAATTTATTAATAACTCGCTAATTATACGACATAATTCGCCCAAAATCAATAGGCTTCTGGTCCGAGATATGATGAATGCACAAACAAAATCAGCGCAGATTTAATCTCGCTTTCGTGAGATATCGCGAGATCTAACAGACAGACAAACATACAGACAAATTAAAATCGATAAGTAATAACAGCTACAAGTTGTAAAACACATTCTAAACATGAGCATATCATTAATAATGATTAAATGGAATCTGCATCTGGGCATATCAAATTTGCAAGCCTTTGAACTGCATCTTTTCTGAAATTTATTGCATTACTGTCTTTTTCGAGCAGACCAAAGGATAACTGAGCATTGGGAATCTTCAAAAATACGTTTCCAGGTTGCAAGTCATAGAACAGTATAACTCTCCTTGGTGCAAGGTGAGTACTTCTGAAGTATGTGAACCAAGATGGGAGACACCGGAACGTAATATGTGTACCAGGTTAGGGTTAGGCCATAATTTTATTTCAATTTTCCTCATTCTAGTTCTATTACGAGTTCGGGGACTAGCCAAGTGATTCCCGTAGTATTTGTACCTAAAATTATGGTCTAACCCTAACCTGGTACACATACTTCAAGATACTCATGTACGAGGTGTGGCTAAAAAGAAAGGGACTGACGTCACAGATTGCGCAACACGATCAACCATCGGTAATCAACACTTTTACATTGTGACGTAATATGTGTTCTTTGTTTAACAGCTGTTTTGACACAAATGTCGCAATTATTTTTACTTTTAGGAGCTATACATGAATGTACACCTTGTAATTATATGTATAAACCATTCTTCGAACTTACCAGCAGGTGGGCCTGGACACGGCTCTATGAGGCAAGGCAGCAAATCATAATAGACTCCAGTGCATATATATTCAAGCAGTTACGTGTTCTGGTATGAAGAACAGGGTAATGAAAAATACAGTCAATAGCCAATAAATTGATAAGGAGGGCATTAACTTATAAAAGTAAATTGATATAGAGTCTAGATTTAGTGGTTCCCAAACTGGGGGTAATTACCCCCAAAGGGGTGATTTGGCAATTTTTAGGGGGTAATCTAAAAGTTCACGTTTTTTCATGATTTCTTTCATAACCCCTGTACTTTTGAATAGTCTGTGGATAAGCTGGACATTCAATGCTCGCATCTAGTCAATCACACGGTTTGTAAAAAAAATAACGGTACTTTGTAATACATATTGTAGGTTAAAATGCAGATCTAGCGCAACTTTAGCACCTTGAAGTCGGATCGGAAAGTGCAACAGGTGTGTCAGTATTATCGCCATTTTTGGTCAAAGAAAAAGTGATAACAATATTACTGCTGTAAGTATATGGAAGGGGTAATTGGAATTTTGGTGGTTCAATTTAGGGGTAACGATATCAAAAAGTTTGGGAACCCCTAGACATGAAGGATACCTATGAATGATCTTTACTACAACACAGGATTCATATGCTAGTAAGATATCGCTTCCAGGCATCTCAATATCTATGATGGATATTGTACTGGAGACGGGACAAAAGTCTGTGTTCACCATATTATTTTATCATCATGCTTGCTTCCCTACCCCAAGATGAATAGGAAAAATCCCTATTTCCTAGGTTCAATGAGATGTATCATATTGAACAATTAATGAATACATTATCTGATCTTATCCCACGTATTTCTTCACAGTAACATGCCCAAGTCATCATGGAAACCACAAATTATTACAAAGATCACTAACCTGATCATATGTCCATTTCCACACACTTTGTCGCATTGACCCCATGGCCCCCAATCTGACCATGTCCCAACTGGTTCAACAGTAACTGCGGGCCATGATGAGTCAGTTAAAGAAGGCCAAATAGTAGGATTTGGAAGACCAGGATTAGGGGCAAATGGTGAAGATATGGGGTGTGGTGGGTGTATAACAGGACCTGGGGGCCGAGGGTTAGGAAACTGCGGATGAGGACCAGGAACTGGGGGCCACGGGTCTGGAAATTGGGACTGAGGGCCTGAAACTGAAGGCCAAGGGTCAGGAAATTGAGGTTGTGGACCAGGAACTGAAGACCATAGATCAGGAAATTGAGGTTGTGGACCAGGAACTGAAGACCATGGATCAGGAAATTGAGGTTGTGGACCAGGACCTGAAGACCATGGATCAGGAAATTGAGGTTGAGGACCAGGAACTGAAGGCCAAGGGTCAGGAAATTGTGGTTGAGGACCAGGAACTGAAGGCCAAGGGTCAGGAAATTGTGGTTGAGGACCAGGAACTGAAGGCCAAGGGTCAGGAAATTGTGGTTGAGGACCAGGAACTGAAGGCCAAGGGTCAGGAAATTGAGGTTGTGGACCAGGACCTGAAGACCATGGATCAGGAAATTGAGGTTGAGGACCAGGAACTGAAGGCCAAGGGTCAGGAAATTGAGGTTGAGGACCAGGAACTGAAGGCCAAGGGTCAGGAAATTGTGGTTGAGGACCAGGAACTGAAGGCCAGGGTCAGGAGATTGAGGTTGAGGACCAGGAACTGAAGGCCAAGGGTCAGGAAATTGAGGTTGAGGACCAGGAACTGAAGGCCAGGGGTCAGGAAATTGTGGTTGAGGACCAGGAACTGAAGGCCAGGGGTCTGGGTATTGGGTCCCAGATCTGGGGACAAAGTTGAAGACGTCGGCTGAATCACTTCAGGTACTAGGGTTAAAATATAAAACTTTTCATATTCATAAAATGAAATAGAAACACGTCTTACTATCTTATCCATGTTATATAATTCAAGACTGTGCAAAAAACCAATACAGGTTATCAAGCAATGACATTTGTGACACTGGTTATTGATTATCCAGAATTCAAATATACCAAAGGGTTTAAAACAAATTTTTAAACCTACCAAAAGGCGAACCTGGACATGACATTACGAAGCAAACCATCATTTCATATCCGTGTCCGTCACAATTGAAATCTGAGCATTGTCGCGATCTGAATTAAGAAATCAGTGCTGGAAGGATAGGATGGGATTTACATATATATATATATCCCGGTGGAGAGGAAAGCCAATAAGATGGCCTATCCATATGGCAAACCACGGCGTCTCGTCCAATTCCATGTCTGGTATGGGATCAGTTACCTATTTGTTTTTCAGAAGCATGAACTTGATGGTGGAGGAAGCCGTAACCGACCACCCGTTACGTGAACCACCCTACGGCAAAGAGGAGTTCAGTAATTCTTTCGCACATAACCATCACCGCATGGGATTCAAATATTCGAAACAACACAGAGAAATCAGAAGTGTCGTGGGGAGTGTATACCTAACGCATAGCGCGATGCGCCACACCATTAAGATTAAGACCTCAAATCTGATGCGCCCATTTTATCCACTTTGGCACAAAAGCATGTTTGCCTTACATGAATGAATCTAACTTTTGTGTAGTATATCCAAACAGGCACATTTTATATCAAGTCCATGCTTCCGAAACGAATGACTGGTTAACTAATTGCAAAGTGTTGTAGATTCGATGACCAAGCAATCCGTCCCTCACATCATCTGTCATTTTAAAATTGTGCTTATTACAGACACTTTAATGCGGCATTTTTTTTTTATTGAAATGACAAATAAAATAACTCTGATTCGAATACCCGACATAGACTGGTAACCGGACCAAAGGCCGTGGTTCGCCATATGATAAAGCCCACTTATCGACATCCCTCTCCCTCGGATAAATATGTAAATCCTATCGGCGGTGTGGCGCATCGTGCTAAGCGTTAGGAATACGCTTGCCACCGCATCTCCGCTTACCCTTCGTAAGTTCGCAGGTCTGAATCCCGTGCGAGGATGATCATGTGCGAGAGGATTGCTGGACTCCTCGCCGTCATAGGGTGGTTCACGTACCCGCCAGTCGGTTACGGCTTCCTGCACCATCAAGTCCATGCTTTCGAAAACAAAAATAACTGGCTAACTAATCCCATACCCGACCTGGACTGGTAACCAGACGAGAGGCCGTGGTTCGCCATATGTTAAAGCCGACTTATCGACATCCCTCTCCTTTGGATAAATATGTAAATCTATCCTAACTTCAAGACACTAAGTAGAAAACAAACCTGGACTGGTGGCCGTCTCCGCAAGATTTATCGCATGCACTCCACGGCCCCCATTCAGACCACATACTAACAGACTCAGGACTGGATGATGACGGCTTCGGATACTGATCAGGGGATAATGTTGATAAAGTTGGCTGAATAACTTCTGGTGCTTCTGTAACTGAAGCTGAATGGAAAAGTTTTATGATAAGAAAATAGCATTTTTTCCCAATACATATGTACCCTGTTATATGTATAAACTTCAATATACAATTAAATGTAAAAAAAGTCCTGTGAATGCAAAAAAGCAAAGCCCCTTACATAACAAAGTCAAAAATTTACCTTTAAGCTTCATGCAACTACTGAAATGCAGATCACAAATAATTATTGTTAACCCGCCACATTTTCAATACACCTATATATAGGGTTACCATATTTTTGTGACTTCAAATCGGGACACCTCGAAAGACAACGACTCCTTAGCTGTGATTTTATAACTTCACATTTTCCGATTTTACGACATACATTCCTACATTTAAAGCTCGGCTGTCTTTATTGACCATATTGTTATCGAAATTTCATGCGCATATTCTGTCCAAATATCGGGTTCAGTTCGAAAAATAGGAAGGAATTGACGTTAACGATACCGGTACAAATAATTCGAATTTAGACTAATTAGTATTGGTTTTACATGCGATACGTCTGCCATCAATGGGAATCAGCGGGAAACGAACGCATTCACCTTCAGTAAGTAGGCTAGCGCTGCGCTACACAGAAACAACAGTAACGAGAACATGTTTGTGTATTATGCTGAAAAAGCGGGCTTTTGACTGACTTATCGGACGGCGGGACAAAACGCTGAAAAGCGGGACTGTCCCGCTAAAGCGGGACGTATGGTAAGCCTATCTATATAATTGAAAATAAAAGAAATTAAATGTTTCAATCAGTTAAAAAAGTCAATCATTGGATTTAAATAACATGAATCGGTACAATATTTGACCTAAATTGGTAACCGACTGAAAAAATAGTTTTGATCCTCTCCCTTACAATAAATATGTAATCCTGTTAAATTATTTCAGTGTTGACTGAATGAACAGATCAAATATCAGATACTCCAAAATAATTTTTACAAATTTGATGAGCATATAATCGAAATGTATTCACAAAAGAAACATAGCAACTAAATAAGACCATCCATTCCACTCTTTGAACCTCAACTGAGTTACAGCGATATTCAAATACCCAGTCCTACAAAATAATGAGTTTCTGCATAGGATAGGATTTACATATTTATCCCGGGGAGAGGAAAGCCGATAAACGGCTTATCCATATGACGAACCACGGCCTCTCGTCCGGTTACCATTCCAAGTCGGGTATGGGATTAGCTATATTGTTTGTTTTCGGAAGCATGGACTCGGTGGTGGAGGAAGCCGTATCCGACCAGCGGTTACGTGAACCACCCAACGACGGCGAGTCCAGCAATCCTCTCGCACATAACCATCCCTGCATGGGATTCGAACCTGCGAACCCATGCAGAGTTATTAGAGGTGCGGTGGTGAGCGCATATCATTAGTTATCAATGGCTGATAGTACAGGGCCTTGCCCAGAGTGGTAGACGTGAATAGGTGTCAAAAATACGAGTCAAATGAGTTGATATTTCTTATTGCAATATAACTGTATGAAAATTCTCATTCAGATATCAGCACAAAACATAAATCATTCAAAAATGAATCTCTTCATATATTTAAAAGTTTCAAAACAATAAAATCTCACTTTGCTCTGAATTATCTCCCTCACATGGTTCAGTGCGCATGCACCCACTTCATTAGCGACATAGGGTCCCAATCTTCAGCAGTCTCAGTGAATGAGTATTCTGGATCACAGTTATAAATATGACAAATGCCAGGACCCTGAACAAATAGATTTAGTCTTGTTCACCAATTTGATTTGCAACATGGAACATTCTGTACATTTTTTGTGATTTACACATCATTGCAATATCATCCATGGGCATACTTCTCACAGGAACTTGCACAAACAAGGTAACATGAAATCCCTCAGAGATCAGCAAAACTCACTTCTCGAGACTAGAAACCCTTGATGCATGAGATTGGCAATGGCGCATAATGAGCGTTGAGAATAAGCTTGCCATTACAACTCTGATTACCCTGCATGGGCTCACAGGTTTGAATCCTTTGGACTCCACAGTGCCACAGGGTTGTTCATGTAACTGTTGGTCGGCTACAACTTCCTCTACTCTCAAGTCCATGCATTTGAAACAAATAACTGGCTAACTAATCCCATACTTGATATGGACGGGTACCAGACGACAGTCGTGGTATGCCATGTGATTAAGTTGTCCATATTAGCTCTCCTTTTCTCCAGGATAAATATGAAAATCCCATCTTAGTCAGTGAAAATAAATTATGTGCTACTGAGTATAGGTTGAACATTACAGGTTACAGGTTTGACATTACAGTTTAGAAAAGACAAGTTGACAGTGGCACACTTTAATAAAACAAAACTCAAGCACTTGGACAGGATAGGATTTACATATTTATCCTTGGGGCGTGGAAAGCCGATAAGACGGCTTAATCATATGGCGAACCACGGCCTCTGGTATGAATACTAGTCCATGTCGGGTACAGGTATAGTTAGCCAGTTATTTGTTTTCGGAAGCATGGACTTGATGATGGAGGAAGTCGTAACCAACCAGCGTTACGTGAACCCCCTGCAGCGGTAAGGAGCCCAACAATAACTATCCCTGCATGGAATATAAACTCGCTAACTCACGCAGGGTAGCGTATTCCTAACATTTAACACGATTCGCCACACCGCCGAGCCTAGACTTGGCAAATGAGGAATACGCTCGCCACCGCATCTCTGATTACCCTTCGTGGGTTCGCAGCTTCGAATCACAGGCGGGGATGATCATGTGCGAGAGGATTGCTGGACTCCTCGCCGCCGTAGGGTGATTCACGTAACCACTGGTCGGTTACAGCTTCCTCCACCATCAAGTCCATGCTTCCGAAAATAAATACTTGGCTAACTAATCCCATACCCGACCTGGACTGGTGACCGGACGAGAGGCAGTGGTTCGCCATATGAAAAAGCTGTCTTATCGACTTTCCTCTCCCCCGGGATAAATATGTAACTTCTATCCTCTATCCTATCAGCACAAAATCCACTACTCACACAGTGACACCGTAAATGGAGTGATTCACGTGATCCCCCACATGTAGCGCCACACGTTGATCGAATCCACTCACTTCCCCATTCTGTAGGTATCGGTTGCATGGCTAAAAATGATAAGGCAAACATGATTATAAGTTAAAAAGTTTAAAAATCTCTCAAATACAATTAAATACTTACGAGACCCATCACATGTTTTCAACTGGCATGTCTTCTGTTCTTCAATATGGTGTATGCCAAAAACACCTTTACAGCCATTTTTGTACTTCAAAGGACAACTGCGATATCTTAAAAGGAAAAAATCTGAAATTGGGAAATTTAGTCTATATTATAATATGTATATGAATATGCTAATTATAATATGTATTTAAATATTTCGATATTGTTGAACTTTAAAGATCATTTAGTTTTGTCAGTATTGGGTTTGGTTTATATCTATTTAAAGCCTCTGATATGTTTCCTTTTCTACCAAAAAGGTTGAAAACCATTGTAAGAATATTTAAAATTTTATTTATTTGACAATCACCACCTCAAAGTAAAATCTCTTAAAGAAAATCAAACTTCATGCTATTATTCGTCATAAAAGTTGATGACACTTATTATTACAAAACAATTCAATTCTCACCTCCGTTTTTCCCCAATACCACACTCTCTCCCACAAGTACCCCATTCAGTCCATTCATCGTAAATCCCATCTGGTGGAGGACATTCTCCCGAATCACAGTCTCTGTACTCAAAAGTACCGCCCTCACAATTGCCAACTTTCACACCACTCGGATCATAACAGTCCCGAGATCTGGTTTGATATCCTTTCAGGCATGAAACAGAGCACTCTGACCATGACGCCCATTGTTTCCATGAACCTGTAAGATGAAAAATCTTGACTTGAAAAAAATCTTGTGATGAATACACGTTACTTAGCACTCTGTTTTTTTTTTTATGTTAACTTATCATTGTATCTAAAACAAAACAGTAAAGATTATTAACCCTTTACCAACCAATTGATTTCATTTTTACCCAAAAATTGATTTCAGACAATATCCTATCAGACAAGACACTGAGCACTCTGACCATGATGCCCATTGTTTCCATGAACCTGTGAGTTGAAAAATCTCAAATGCTGTGATGAATATGTTACTTAGCACTGTTTTTATTTTAATTAGTGTTTATGCAGGGCTTCTCGCTTCATTTAATGCACAAGCATATGCCATAATTAGTCCTCGAATCACATCAAGGATATTTCACATATTTCAAAGCAAGACTTCATAACACCGTGTATATTTATAACTCAAAGTCTACCTACTACCGGTCCATCACTTTCTAATTTGCATCTATATAATATGTTTAATTCTCTGAAATCCTCCTCAGTAAGTAAGCGCTCTTCTGTTCTGGTTATAATCACTTCTTCTCCAGGTTTACTGACAATAAACGACAAATACATAATTACAAACAACAACCGGTAATTGATAACGCAAAGCTGCTAGTTGGTTTGCAGACTGTGCTTAGCGTTTACAACATGATTGTTATTGCACTTCTGATTACCCTGCGTGGGTTCTCAGGTTCGAATCCCTTGCAGGAACAGCTGGACGCATCGCCACAGCAGGCTGATTCCAGTTACAGCTGGTTGGTTACGGCTTCCTGCATTATCAAGTACATTCTTCTGAAAACAAATAACTAACTACCGGTAATTCCATACCCGACATTGAATGGATACCGAACGAGAGGCCGTTAAATTAAGATCAGCTTAGCACATTAGTCAAAATACATTTCCAAAACAGAATAGGTATTGCATTTTTAATCAGTGAAAGCGAGGAATAGCAATTCTTTCACATGATTATACTCGACAGGATTTGAAACTGCAAACATAGGGAAATCAAAGATACAAGTGCATTTGACCACCCAGACCAACCACAGAGCCCGACGAAGAAATTTGAGATGAACTGTTGTTCTGTTTCTTGTCAATTTAATTGTATGCTTCCAGATGAAATAACTTTAACCATGCACAAGCAGAACTAACGAATAAGATTTTATTTGACTTTTTGCACACCCCAAAAAGCACTCACCAATCTGCAATGTTGAAAGTAAAATTCTAACTGTTTTTGAAGAAGTCCTAACTAATCATATAAACTACGAATCGTTACAGATAATTCTTGCTATTGTTTCTTATATCAACATCTTTCATCTAAAAAATCGAATACATCTCAATATGCTACGGGAAGATTTTTATACTTTACTTACAAAGTCATACTCGTTGCTCCATTTATGCCAAAATCATCACTACCATAATGCAAACCGGATCGTTTTTCATATTCTGTTCCAAGATCTAAAACTTTGCGTTCTTCCAGTTTATCAAAATTGTGAAGATAGTCTGAAATAGAAATATTTGAGTTCAAGTAAATAAAACTATATTATTTTCAAAATAGGACGGTGTGGGGCATCATCCGGGGCCGCATGAGACTCTTTGTTTCCGAAGCCCTGGCTCCCAAGAATCTGAGTGGTTACAGCACTTTTTTTGTTGGAAGAAGTGGAGATTCAATAAAAGGGGAAGCATGAAGCCCAATACTTCTCACTTATTATACGTCACAGTGGTTCTCAATGTATAAGTGGCGAGCGATAAAAATGGGTCGCATTAAAGTGATGATAAATTTGTAAAAACCAACTTTATTATTATTTTATCATTCATATTCTATTTGGCTAGATTATTGCATCATAGGATAGGGATAGGATTTACATATTTATCCCGGGGGAGAAGGAAAGCCGATAAGACGGCTTATCCATATGGCAAACCACGGCCTCTCGTCTGGTTATCATTCGGGTATGGGATTAGTTTTACTGTATTATTTGTTTTTGGAAGCATGGACTTGGTGGTGGAGGAAGCCGTAACCGACCAGCGGTTACGTGAACCACCCAACGACGGCGAGGAGTCCAGCAATCCTCTCGCACATAACCATCCCTGCATGGGATTCGAACCTGCGAACCCACGCAGAGTAATTAGAGGTGCGGTGGCGAGCGTATTCCTAACGCTTAGCCCGTTGAGCCACACCGCCGCGCCGTGATCACAAGTGATAAGTCATCATAAGTGATTTTAAACAAGAGTTGTTTACATGGCTCAATATTTTCTGGATGTATAGTAACATGAAGATCTCTGTCAGGTCTTGATTGTTCGTGATCAAATCCGAAAGCATGCATAAGTTCATGCTGTATTGTTGCACGTATTCCACATCCAACTCCAAGTTCCAACATTTGACTGCCAAAACCACGACCCACTGCTGATCTAAAATGAAAAATATTCAAATAAGATTGGAGGATAAATTTTTATGGACTGAGTGGGTACAGTGGTCAATAGTTAGTGTTCACCTTGACTAAGATTGCATCAAAGTTTGAAATCTCAGGTTCACTTTCCAAAACTTGTAAATAAATTAGGTAATAGGTAGGCAGTACTGAGATGAGACATACTTTTTATGGATCTATATGAATATGACATTGTAGATCAATGAATATTTAAATTTACATTAAATGATTATGATGTGGAAATCACAGTAACATAATAAATATCACATTCCACCTCCCTTTTATCATTTACTTAATCTTGATGTATAGATTCGGAATGGTAGATAGCAGGCTGGCCTTATCAGACTTTCTGTTACATGAACCACCTTGTGGCAACAAACTGTGATAACTTTACAAAACAAAAAGGGTGGTAAATTCTAAATATCAACTCCAGTCATCCTAACTCAGTACCAATGAGTACTTTTAGGATTTATTTTGATATCTAGATTTTTGAAGCTTCCATTTTTTCTCACGAACCAAAATGTAGTTTTATTTCTGCCAGATACTATAATAGCTTCACAAAGTTTTACATGCAAAAAAATTTATGAAAATTTCAGACATCTGTCATGGCACCTGAATAAGAACTACACAAGCCACCCTATACAAATTAATATCACGTTCACTTACGCACAATTGACAGTTTCCACGACATTCAAATAATCGTTTTCATCTGTCCAATGTATCAAATCAATGCATGATTTTTTACCGTAATCTTCCACCACAAGATTCCAAGCATCGAGTGTTGAGTACACTGGAATTTTGAAAAAATCACTGAAGTCGAGCCAATCACTGAGTTAATTCTCACTGGTGGTTACAAAATGATGAGTCTGAGTCATCCCATTTGGGTAACTCAAGTCACTTCGGGTTTTTTAGCCACCCAACACTTGTAAGGTATTAGGTAAGATCATTTATCATATTCATTTGTTTTATCAACTATTTTATCGTTTGTTATGTCGAATATAGAGTCGAGCCATACCGGTACTTACACATTCTAAATTGCCAATGAGGTCTTCACAAATATTGCTCTGACCTTGTTTATCTTTTCTTCACAAAATGTAAAAATTATCTTACACACATTAGGGCTCATCTTATAAGGAACCTTCATTCTTCCATTCACAATTGTTTGATTCCAGATTTCAAATGCTGTTCCAAAAAATAGTGAGAACTCTTCTTCTTCTCTATGACCATATCTCTGTAAATACCATACACGATACTCACTTATTTTGACCACATTATTGTGAATAAAAAGCTTTTAATCTATTCAATCATATATATGGATTCAATGTATCCAATGTCAAGAAGGTCATTTGAAACATATTCTAGAAAAAACATAACTTTCGTGCTAAGCGTTTTAGATTGCTGAAACCTTTGAGTTAAATCAGTGTTTCCCAATCATTTCTGGATCATGGCTCCCTTATGGAAGCTTTTGCCCTTGGTTCCCTCTGTTCACCGGTCCAAAAATAGACGGACTCGAGGCTATTATGCCTTTTATCACTTTCTATGGTATTTAAACGCAAGCCAAGGAATAAAAAGTCAAATACCACTTTGATCCGCAATTCATGGACAAGAAAGTGAAAACATCCTGCTACCTCAAATAACCTTCTCAAAAATGAAACTACTGAGAAGAGGGTGTTTAATTTAAAAAAAAAAAATATTCGAATGAAATCACATTAAAATCAATTTGTCACAGGATCCCATCCCAACTGAACTGTGGCCCACTTGGAAGTCTGTGATTGGAGAACACTGTATTAAAACATATACAAACAGAAACTTAGGGGTTGTTTTGTGTGGCCACCTGTATTGTAATACTTATAGATGTCAAAATGTTTGGCAATAATAGTTATAACCTTTAAGTTGCATATCAAAATTTCTCACTGTCATCATTCTATCAACTTCATCTTCTCCAAATCTTATATCCCCTTGGTATATTCCACTTGTAGCACACTCGCAGCTTTTCGGACATTGTGTTTTATCGTCAGTTTCATAAGAAAATGGACAAGAAATCGGACATTCTGATAAGTCAACTTCACAAAATTTCACTGTAACATTGGTAGGTTTTTATAATAGATTTTTCATTTTTATTCGAAGAGAGGTAAATTGATAAGACGAATTAATCATATGGTGAACCACGGCTCCTTGTTTAGTTACCAATCCATGTCAAGATAGGATTTTCATATTTATCAATTGTTCCTTTTCGACGCATAGACTTCAAGATAGAGGAAGCTGCAACTATTAGCTGTTAAATGAACTACTCTAGAATTAGCTAGGAGTCCAGCGGGCTCCCGAAGTATGCGAACCAAGATGGCGGACATCGGAATGTAATATTTGTACTAGGTTCGGGTTAGGCCATGATTTTAGGTATAAATACTACGGGAGGCTCTTGGCTAGTCTTCGAACTGATAATAGGACTAAAATAAGGAAAATTGGAAAAAAATTATCGCCTAACCCTAACCTGTTACGTTCCGATGTCCGCCATCTTGGTTCGCATACTTCGGGAGCACCAGTCCAGCAATCCTTTCAAACATAGTTATTCCCAGAGGGTTCTCGAAAGTGCAAAGCTGATTCCTAATGCTTACTATAATGCATCAATTCTAAGTCTCCCTGCCATATTAAGTTATCTACATTTATCTTAATTACCACACATTATACAGAGCTCCCAAAAAAATTGGTCCTGACCCCACAACAATAGGGATTTCGCCAAATTTTATAGTAATAACAATTGTAAGTTAAAAAAAAAATTTTATTGTATGATAAATGAAAATTACAAGCACATAAAGAACTATTAATAAACAAAGACGAAGAAATTTTTAATTGTTACCACAAAAAAATTAGGCGAAATTTTTTGGACACCCAGTATCCTGTAGTAAAAAATAATTTGATAAATCGAGTAGGCCTACTTTATTTTCATCAGGGTGAAATTGCATTCTTAGCTCATCTGTTCATTGAATTCTCAAATTAAATTAATTCACCCTTGTATTATTTTTATTACGTATTATTTGGTTACATACATCTACAAGCTGCCATTGCCATTGGGTTCATGTCTACTCCTTGAATTATCTTTCGTTCACTCATCGACTTCAATATTTTTGTACATGGATCTTCTGTACCTGGGATTTTAAAGATGGATTATAGTATACAATTCTTTAATAAGAATAGGAGGTAAGAAAAATTCATGACATCAGTACAACTAATCAGAAACACAGTCCATGAAAAAACTAGCCTGCGGTAAATTAAATATCTTCTGATTTTTGAGTGAAAATAATTTTAATCATTTGTATCCGAATTGAAATTGATTCGATTTGAACTCAGTTACATATACGATATAGTAACTTTTTGATTTTGGGACCAATTTGGGATGTTTTAATTCGAACATTATTATTTAGAGCAGGGGTGTGCAACAGACGGCAGGCGGGCCACAACCCGGCCTGCCAAGCCATCTAGTGTGGCCCTTGCTAACATCCGACAGTTTATGTTTCAAAAGTTGCTCATGTGGGTAAAAATACATATGTTTTTTGTTCTTGTCGCTGTGTTAAATATTTCGCCGTTTTTTCCAGCGTCCTTATTGCTGCAAGCTTAAGCAAAATACGCAATGTCTTTTCTTCTTGCCTTCCAAGCATGGATAAACAAATTATTTGTGTGGCCAAGCTAGACGTCTGGAGTTGGTTATACGGTCCACCAACAAAAAATGTTGCACATCCCTGATTTAGAGCATTTAAACTTTAAAGCGTCATAGTATAACTAAAATGACCTTCATTTTATTTCTAAAAACTGTAAAAATAGAAAACCTATCAAATGACTATTCATCTTAACTTTGTTTATTTTTTGTTTATCACACTCATTGAATATATATTGATGGAAATTTCTTTTTATTCCGTCATCTAGAACAAATTCTTTAATTATAAAAACAGCCAAAGATGATCATCAGGTGGCCTTGGTAAATTGTTAATAAGTAGGTCAATTATGATTTTGATATTTAAAAATTAAAAGTTACTAATTATTTTATTCAATTCTTTGTGTGACATGTTACTACTTGAGAAATTTAAATACCACAAGGCGAAAATGTTATTTGTAGGAATAAATGATTTTCACATGAAGGATGGTGATATATGAAGGATAATTCATTAATGTTGTAACAATATGTATTACACCAAATTTACAATTGTGGAATATACTGAATATGTCTTCACATACTTAGTAGCAATACTTTCTCATCTATTAAAATTTTAAGCATGTATCATTCCTTTGTTATTCTGTCAATCTTAATTCTAAAGATAGCTGGCTCGTTGTACCAAGTCGAAGGTTGCACGTCATTTTGCATTAGTACCATACAATAAAACAAGAGAGCTATGCTCAAATATATGCACACGTAGCGCCACCCAATGGCAATAATTTTGATGACGTCATAGCAACAACAAAAAGTAATAGCCTTCTAGAAAAAACATTTATCTTTAACCACTGAAAATTTCAAAGCAATTGGTCCAGTATTCGAAGAGAAAAGCGATTTTTTAAAAATGATGGAGACAAATAATAACAATAACAACATAATATTGAAACGATCGTTATGTCCAATTACTATTACAATTTACCAATATAAATATTTTATGAATGATGATAAAAATAAATTGTTTTACCTAGATTAAAAATAACTATAGCAATATCTTCTTACCTAATACATAATATATTACCGCAACAGTTGCTCCAACCATTATACAGACAATCACAATTGAAATCATCCATTTTATCCCATTTGACATTTTCCGCACATTTCCTGATGAAAAAAAAACTTTGCTGTATGTCTTGTTTAATAATAAGATATTGAACCAGTGGTGGGATTCAGCCGATTCGCACCGGTTCTATAGAACCGTCTCACAAAATTTTACTGTTTTTTGAGAACAGGGAACCGGTTAGCATTACTGGTTACTACACCTCAATGGTTACTGTCAATGTTCTGTTTGTAATAGAACCGGATAAAAAAGAGAACTTTTGTGAGGGAAACGCCTGACAAAAAATTTGAATCCCACCACTGTATTGAACTTACTAAAGTAACCACCCTCTATGTTTTTCAGGGATGTTTGGACTTTTTCTCATTATGAAGTCTGAAATTACGACAACGACGAGGTCACAACTTCGATTAGTGGAAATTGAAAATACAGCTCCGGTGAAAGCTTGCCAAACTTGATCCCACAGTCCTGTTTACGTTGTCAGTACGGCAAATGATGTCGAATCTGACCAAAAACGTTCAACGTGTGTGCATCATGGTATGACATTTCGTATGATGGAAGAGGTTAAATATTCTGAATGGCCCTAAGGAAGCCAAAGGACAGTTAACTAATATCAAAGACAATTTAATTTGAGAGCTTTGAAGAAATAAATTTATTAACTCGCCTTTCTGTCAACTAAAATCTAAAATTAGTTACATGTAACGATTGCATCAAGCATCAGATGGATACCAAGTTACGTTGGCATTTAAAATACTTGGTGAATGTGAGAATGGCTTTAATATACGAGACTTCCACACATACAAACATTAATTTCTAATTCGAAACTTTCGGACTACTAATTAAAACGTAAGCGAACACTAGACGCAGTAGAGTGGGTAGACTAACCTTTGAATGGAATTTAATCCCGGAGTCCAGGTAATACCGTCAAAAATGATTTATACAATACAGCGTGGGCTTAATTTAAAATTGAGTGAAATTTATTTTTGCCTTTAATTTTTAATATTTACTTGATACCTTAACAACACAGCCTTGTGGTGGAAGATTAGTGCAATGGTATGAAGGTGCAATTGTCGTGGGTTTAAATGTACGTGGGTTCAAATGTACGGGAACCCTCCTAAATTACTATTGTGATAAATCGCCTTTTCCGCTACTTCAGTCCTACTTTCCAAACTTAACTCAAAAACGGATGATGGCAATATAAAGCTATTTCTTTTATTTTGACCTAATTATTTCTGAGGCCTATGAAGCTTGATATTTCACCCTAAATTTTGTTATTAGTGCGGCGTCACGTGGTATTCCGTCAAACCATACCGCTATATTTTCGACAAACGTGGTGCGGCAATAATTAATTCCACGTGACGGATATCAGATTTATGCGAAGGTTAAACTTAACCGGAGTCTGTCTCAGTCCCTTTTTTTTCTTAGATAGATAGTTTATTTCGAAAACTCCACAACAAACATAAATTAAAAATGAAGAATTCTGGAGGGCAAGCAAAACCTATAAAAAAGTTTTAAACAAAAGAAGTATCTTATGTGCCTGCCCACCAGCACGCACACAAAAACACAAGCCCAATTAAATGACGTTTGGGCAAACTTAACAAACAAAATACACGATAGCAGACTATTGAACTTTCGGGCTGTTGTACTCTTCTCCTAGGTACTGTTAGACTTAATCACGGGAGCCTCTGCTCGCAAACCACTACTGGTGGTTTTTCGCAGATTAATATTAACATAAACACCAATGAATGGCGAAAGTATCAAACTCACCTTTCGAGCTAGTAACAGCCGAAATTTCAACTCTTTGCCTCGCCATGTTGTTTACCAAAGACCGCTGTGCTGCGACAAGTCTACCGCATTCAACACTTTACCTTTACTGAAAGCGCTCTCGTAAATCTGAAATGGCACAATCGTGAACATAGGTTCTTTCCAGCATTCATCTTTTGTATTTTCTGCATTTCTACATAATAATTTCGGATAAATAACTTTACAGTTTCGTGTACGCAAGGCTACCATCGCCTGGGACGAAAATGGGCACGTTATTAGGTCATGTTTACCTTGTTAGTTATCTATGTGATGTCATAAGCAATAACAAAGCGATCGAATTTCGTCGCCTAAGGTAATCTTCAACGGTGGCAACTTCAGGAGCAAACATCGTTATATAATTATAAAACTTGTGTATTACAAATCTAATTTAACGATAATTTAAAATCCGATTTTGATTAAATTAAGGAAGCTGTATCTTCAGCATGAATGAGTAACTTACAAATGAGACTACGCGTCAAACATATTATATTTTGTGCGGTGACAGTACATGGTGCACAGTAACGTGCTTTGCTAAACCACAACCTTTCTGGCGATGGAAAGTTGCACACGTCTGTCTCACTTTTGAATGGGTAAATCATGAAATGAATGAGGTATGAAAAAATCAAATAGTAACACTCAGTTTAAAATCAAAATATTTTATTTGCAATATATTACACATATATTATACAGAGTAAATTGAACCAAAATTGATAGTAAATAAACATTTTATCTGCTTTAGGCTTTCGAAATATGGAAAATTCGCATGAAATTTGGTAAACTATCTAACAGCCAAATTCGAGTTGTTTTACAAACTCAAGCCAAAACGTAAGTTTAGATGATAAATTTAAACAACTTCTTCAGCAGTTTTACATTTAGTCGCAGTGCTTGTATTTAAATCACTTTCTTGTTGTCTTACGCGACAACATTTGCAAAAAGCAAAACATGGCAACATTCTTGTCTGCCAGTCTTCGAAGCAAAAAAGCAGACACCACAAGTTAAAAGCTACATTCACATTATAGACCACCGATAATCCGAATTGAGATAACACAACAAATGCGAGAATGTCGCTTAAAATTGTTATAGGAGTAATTATCATCGATCTTTTTAATAAGGTAATAGACTTCTGTTGCAAACTTTGACCCTTGAGTGAATTTTTCAACGTTTTTCTGTGACGAAATAATGGAATTATAAACAATGCAAGAGTACAAATTTGTGTTTCAATTTGATAAAGAAGAAAACAAAATGATATCCATGTTGGTAAACAAGTCAGTCTTATTACGTTACTGCGTATGCCTTCTTATCCCACCGCAATACTCAGAAATAAATTAATAAATAACATGAAAAATCCTTGAAACCGACTGAAATTATGCAACGGTTTTGATGAAAGATGCCTCAAAAATGGTTCGCTGTGAAACATTGTCTGACGAAGCCACAATATGAGATACTCCGTCGTGAATGCCCACTGTGATAGAAGCACATCAGCTATATAAGTTGAGCTGTTGATATTTCGATGAAACATAAACACCGCGACCATTTTAGATAAGGCAACTAGGCCAGTGAAAACAAATGTCAAACTCATTACAGATCGAAGATTCGAAGCCAGCAAAAGGTCCGTGCATTTTCCAAGTCGAAGCTTGAACAATCTCTTCGAAATAAGAACGTAGATCTGACAGAACGTTATGTAAATTAAAATTATTGTAACAACAATGTCCACGTAGTATTTCTCATTAGTACATCTTCAAAGGAGGTATAGTAACTGTTGGAATTGTTCACTGAGCAGTTCATACTTGATTCCGTTTTTTTGTGATAAAATTTAGATTTCAGCTGCAAATTGCAATTTTGACTGATAATAAATGACACAATCTGTCGATCGAAGTTCTGTCAAAACAACCACATAAAGTTTGAGTCTAAATTGTCTTTTCAAATTATTTCTGCTTTTCTTAGCCGATAGAATTCATGCACTGTACATTAGTCAGCCTCAGTAATACCTTACATTGTGTGGATTGCTAGACTGAAAATCATCGTCAATTGTTATTAACTAAGTTTTTGATTATATTATTTAGAATCGTCGTTATTTTTTGTTATTATTGCCATATGCCGATTACCAAATATTTTTAACAGGCTAAAAGTATCCACAGATACCCTATCTGAATCGCATCACCATCAGACTACACTAGAAGACTACAACAGCAGGAACAGCCGTAAACGAAGGCATAGTCTATATCTCGTATAATATATCTGAATCGTCGGTTCAAAACTTTTGGGAAGCCAGATTGCATTCATGAAGTACAATTTTGCTCTAAAACTGCTATTAACTTTAGACGCATTAGCATTTTCAGCGTGACGTCGCGGAAGTATAGTCACAAATAGCAACTTCCTCAATAATGAACCCTAAAGCATATCAGTGAAAATTTAGTCGAATTATCAATAGATCATAATTTGGCATCCAAGCAGTAATGAACCCTGGAACTGCATATTTTTCATCGTGACGTTGCGAAAGTATAGCCAGAAATAGCAACTTCCTCAATAATGAAGCCCCAAAGCATATTTGAGCATTCACTCATTTTTTTATATTTCATTAGATCTCATTTGCATTCACCTATGATACTATATTTTGCCATGATGAGCTCGTATACAGCATATACACAAGGGTCGCGAACCTAGATGACCTTAATCGGTCTTGCACATCCACCCGCACGAAACAATAATCACTGTTATTACTCCAAAAATATTTTCTTTATCATAATATGTTTTTATTAGTATTGATTTTGTTTTTGTGGCAATAAATCTCTCTCTCTTTCTCTAGAAAATTAAGTCAAATTTTTAATTGATCAAAATGAATTCTGAAACTGAACATTTAATTTCAGTTAACATGGAACACTAGTTTCATTATTATACTTGTATACTAATATTATTACTTCTTATACATAGGGCATCAAGTTCTCAAGTAGGGAAAGGTGGGGCACGTTGGGACATGGGGCACAGTGGAAAATCAGTTCTCACCCTGATACTATATCCGCAATCCTGTCCGCGGTTCGATGTTTCAATCCGCCCTTCGGTGAGTTACAAAGTCCCCGCGAACGGACAGCGGACGGGTAGAGTGGCGCAAGCTATGAGGTGAAATTGATTTTGAGAGGTTGAAACTAAAATTTCACCGTTCCAGTTTTTTCTTTTTTCTACTTTAGCCTTTCCAACATGACAAACCACCGTCTGACATTTTTCAGCTTTAGCCCACTTTAAAATATTCATAACGTTAGCGAGTGGATGTGCCCTCCGAATTTCGCCGTGGGATGATCTGGAAATATTTGTTTCCTATGGGGAACAATGGACCGGGGTTCAGTGGGACATGCCCCACAGGGCACAATTTGACAGTGTTTGATACAATAAGTACTTAGAGACCTAGAGATGCGTTATATTTTGTGTAATATCATGGTTTCTTTCGACCCATGGCCAAATATGGAATATATTCGAGAATCAATCCTATTTCCAGATCTAGATTCGAGGAAGGAAATATTCAAATTTGTTTGCGAAATTTTTTATCAAAATTTCTGAACTATTTCAGTTGAACATTGATTTTAAAAACATTAAATCTTCAAATTTGATGCCTCCCTGTTCTTTAGACCATAGGTTCTCAAAGTGCTCCGTACGGAGCCCCAGGGCCCCTCGAGAGTAACCCAGGGGCTCCGCGAGCTATTCGATTACTTTTCAAAATACTGACTTGGCTAATTTAAAACTGTTCCTAGAAGCAATAACAGCTTTGATGAAATTTGACAACAATATAGCGTCGAAATATGGCAAAGGGGCGGAATTAAAAAATGACATTATTTTTATAAGCAGGAGCGCAGCCAGCATTTTTAAGAGGGAGGAGGTTCAAAATTGGAATCGGAAATTTACGCGCAACATTCTTGGCAATTAAAAAAAAAACGGATAACGAGATTTCTGTTGCGTAAAATATTCAATTCATGACCGATGCGAGCATCTAAATTCTAAAGTGTCTTGTCGTAATAATTTAATTGTGCTCATCGTTACTCACGTTCGATTCGAAATTACTATTAGGATTACTAAAATGATAAAATACTATTCTAAAATAATATAAACTGCGTGATAAACTGCTAACTATAAATAAATTGGAGTCGTATTTTTGTGATCTTGGGATTTGTTAAACTTGATTTGTCCTTTCGCACTCGAGATTATTTTTAAGCAAGATGTCGCCGTTTGAAAAATCACAAGGTCTTGGCAAAATACGAACGATTGGAATTTATTTTAGTGCATGCGGCTCTGTCGGTAGTTTCAGAAAGGAGAAATAGTACACCGCGCGCATAATAAATTGACTGTGTTTCAATTTCGCAGTTACTACGATGAATAACCGAAAACCTAACATAACACCAAATTTATGATGTACGATGTCTATAACAGCGTTTTTATTCTGACGTGAGTCTGCTGAAACAAAACTTATGGTGTTATCTTCCATTTTAAGTTCTAGTTCTAATATTTTAGAATGCCGCTTTTTAAACAAGAAATTTGAATTGCGGATTTACCTCTTTATTAACTATTATTTTTAGCATTTCGTCGCCGATGATTATAATATGGTAACATGTTTTTCACATTGAACTCATAATTCCCCACGAGATTTATTTATGACTTCTATTGACCCTAATAAAAGTGTTTAGTATTTAAATTGAGTAAAAGTACGTTTAACTTACTCAGGAATATTAATCGGAAAGTAACAATTTTAACATTTATTATGGGGCTCCGTGAATATTAGTCAACCTTTTCAAGGGCTCCGCAACGTCAAAAGTTTGAGAACCCCTGCTTTAGACGATTATGCTGATTAATTGCCTATTTTTAAGGGCATACTTCGTTAAATTTTGTCAGACTGACCCATTGTGCCCCAGGGTCTGTCCGAATGTGCCCCACAAGTGGGGTACAGTTGGTACGGTGACCGTACATTTGAACCCACGTACATTTGAACCCATGTGTATATCCACGGGTTCAATCTATATGCGGGTGCTAAAACCCATGGGTTAGGGTTAGCAGTGGCGGCGCGTCAATAGGGCCAACCGGGGCAATGCCCCGGTTGTTTTTTCGGTATAATAAAAAATATTCGAAAAATACCTCAATATCGGTTGCACAGACTGTCTACACTAGCCATATTCTCCCGACATGGTTCATTTTTCGCAAAGCCTTCGCCGAACGTCGACGGGGCGACGCCGATTTTGCCCCGGTTGCTCATTGTATATCGTATTCTCTCTTTTATCTTCCACTCGCCGCGTTTGTTTTCTGTTTCTTTTACTAAATCATCGGGGCCGATCGGGGCTAGCCCCGAAATTATGACGACACAATGCCGACGTTTCTTACAACAACGTGTTGACATATTCACGCATTCCTTCTCGTTCGTTGGTTGCTTGAAGAGTTGATAGTTTCCTAGCCTTCGTTTTTGTCGCTTGTTTCGCTATTTGAATCAGTTAGAGACCTTTAGTCCATTTGTTTTCGATTTTCCACATTCCTTTTGAGCTCCTCACTTCTTTCCGGCTTCGCATTTCTCAGCCTTAGACCTCATAATGAATAAGGTTGATGCACTACTTCGCACTCCGTTTTCGCAGCTGCCGCTGGAACAAAAATTAGAGGTACAACGTCTTGGGCCTTATCAACCAAAAAATTGTTCACTGGAACAATCCCATGACGGAGGAAAGCGTCGGCGTACATTCTGCGCAGAAACTTGGTATAAAAAACACGAATGGTTGTGTTACAGCGAGGACAAAAATGCACTTTTTTGTTTTTATTGCCTACTTTTTGCTACCGCCCGTGACTCACGTTGGTGTAAATTTGGTTTTAGAGATCTTAAAGATCTTTCCAAGCGTGCCAGGGATCATCAATCTTCTATGAAGCATCTGGACAATGCAGTAAAATACCGAACATTCGGAAATGTTAATTTTGCAGCACAGTTGGAGGAAGGACGCGCGGTTTCTATTCGTCGGCACAACCAAAACGTCGAGAAAAACCGCCATGTTCTCGGTCGATTGATAGATGTTTTGAAGTTCATTGGTTGTCACGAGCTGTCCCTCCGTGGGCACGATGAACGGGCTGGCTCTTCTAATAGAGGGGTATTTTTGGAGAGGGTGGAATACACCGTATCCCTAGATACAGTATTGAGAGATCATCTTGATGCCGCAACTGTTTCGAAAGGGACATCTAAGGATATCCAAATTGATTTGCTCGACTCAATGTATAAAATTTATTTACAACATTTGGCTCTGGAAATTGAGAATTGCCAGTTCCTTTCGATCCAGTCTGACGAGACAACTGACATCACGTGCGTTTCCCAACTGGCTGTGATTTTTCGGTTTGTGAAAGATGGTAAACCTACCGAGAGATTTCACAGATTTGTACCAATCGTTGATCGCACGGCTTGCGGGATATCGGCCGTACTGAAAGAAGTGTTACAGCCTTACAACGCGAAGTCAAAATTAATAGCTCAAACTTATGACGGCGCGGCAGTCATGAGTGGGTCGAAACATGGTGTTCAAGTTTATATAAAAAAAAGAAGATTTTCCTCATGCGCATTTTTTACATTGTTATGCACACCAATTTAACCTCGTTATCAAAAATATGTGTCTTGATACCCCTCTCGTCCGTATATTTTTTGCAAATGTTTCGGGGTTTTCTTCATTTTTTTCCGTTTCGCCGAAGCGCTCTGACCTCCTTCGCCAGATATGTAGCCGCCGTCTCCCAGCTTGTGCACCAACACGTTGGAACTTCCAATCACGCGTGGTGCAGGGCGTGTCCAAAATTAGGTCTGAGCTCATTGAGTGTTTCAATGGCATTCAGAGCTCTCCTGTTTGGGACGAACGCTCTGTGAGGGAGGCGGCAGGTCTAAAGCGTCTGCTAGAAGATGGTCTGCTGCGATGCTGTATCTCGTATCCGGGAAACAATAAAATACGACGACACATGGAGTGCTTCTTTACGCCGCGGGCAAACAACGCAGCGTTTGATTTTGTCTGCAAAGGAATGCTGTGACATTCTGGTGAATCAAATAGGCGATCGTCTGCGCACTGAACACCTTGCCGCGTTCTCTTTGATGAACCCCAAAAAATTTTCAAAATTTGCACGTCTATTTCTCATCCATTTGTTGGCTACTGTCTCCAAATTTTACCCCATGATAAACGTGGGTAAATTGGAAAATGAATTGCGATGTATATACACCAATCAAACTTTTTTGAACATCACATCAACTTGCGCGCTCTATGGGTTTCTCATAGATAACACTCTAGTAACTACCTTTGCGGCGTCTGCAAAATTTCTGGACATCATTTTGACGACGCCTATTTCTTCCGCCGACGCAGAGCGAACATTCAGCACGCTGAAGCGTATTAAAACGTATCTCAGAAACACAATGAAGTAAGATAGATTAAATTCCTTGGCTGATTGTTGTGTCCCTGACACTGACTAATGAACTATACAAGAATCCAACTTGATAGAAACATCAGTTTAATGAAAACAAACAATAACAACGCTTAGCAAGCAAACTTATAACAGCGTACCGAATCACTAATGTCACATGAGGTTCTACAAGAATGATGCAATAGTAAACACTTAACGCCAGCTAGTGGAAACATAAAATACATGAAAAGTCAATACACAACATCTTCCCTCCTTCCTGTAAAGAAAAATTTATTTTTTCAACCTAACTCATAGTCTTGTAGATACGATGGAAGTCTTCGGTTTCTAGAAGGATTTCCTCGTGCATTTCTTGGACTTTGTCTCAAATTAGGAATATCTTCATTATTAAATCCAAAAGTTTCCACATGAAAATCATTTCCGTTTTGAAAACTATGTTGATAGGAACGTACAAGTCTTCTTGCATTCCACATTGAACCATCTTCTAATTTATAAGTTGCAGGTCCAACTTTCCTTGTAATTTTGTGAGGATTCGACAAACTTGATTTGAACTTGTGACCTCGAATTGGTCTTTTTATTCGAACCCAATCTCCGACTTTAAATATAGGTACTTTTGCATGTCTTTTGTTATCAGTGTACAATTTTGACTTTTGTTGACGAATTGCAATTTCTTTTTGCATTTTCGGAATGTCAATATTTGTTTCAGTATTCGAAGGTTTAAGACATTCTAATGACAATCTCATTTTCCTTCCAGTCATCAGTTCTGCTGGAGATTTTCCTGTTAAAGCATGAGGAGTAGCTCTGTAGTTTTGTAGAATTATTTGAATAGCTTTACCAACTGTCTTCCCTTCTCTCAAATGAGTTTTTAGTCCTTCCTTTAGAACTCTGTTAAATCTCTCTGTGATAGAGTTTGAAGTAGGATTGTACAACGCACATAATTTCTGTTTTATCCCATGTTTTGCAAGAAAATGTTTAAACTCATAGGATACAAAAACAGAACCATTATCAGAGGTTATAGATTCAGGAATTCCCCATCTTGCAAATAATCCTTCTAATATGTTTATTAAATATGTGGATGTTACATTAGATGTTAAAGCAACTTCAGGCCATTTGGAATGTAGATCATTTATAACAACAGCAAATCTATCTTTCACAGGTGCAATTTGCATTTCTCCAAATACATCAATTGAAATATCTTTCCAAGGCTCACTAGGCCATGGTATTGATTGAAGTGGTGGTTCGGCAGGTTTGATTGATTTCCCACTCATTGCACAAGGTTGACAATTACGAACAAAATCTTCGATTTGTGCATTCAATCTCGGCCACCATGCATTCTCTCTGCACCTTTGCTTCATTCTGACCATACCAGGATGTCCACTGTGTGCCATTTCTAGGACTCGTTTTCTCAGTTGACTTGGAATTATAGCACGAGATCCTCTTGCAAGGCAAACATCATTCCAGACACTTAATTCATGTCTCAATTTATAAAATATAGCAACATCTGGTGAAATTGGAAAAGTCCACCCATTTTGTAAACATTTTACAACTTCTTGAAACACTGGGTCAATTTTAGACTCTTCTTTCAGGTCTTCTTTGGTAACCAAACCATCTAGGTTAATTTCAAAAATATCTGAATCATCTTTATTTTCAGATTCCTTTACATCATCTGGCACAAGTCTACTTAGCATATCAGCTACTTCATTTTTTGATCCACTTACATGTTCTACTTTGAAATTGTACTGGAGTAATCTATCGGTCCATCGGTAGATTCTCAATGGTCTGTGACCAGATCCACTTGTAGATAACAATGATTTCAAAGCTTCATGATCAGTACGAAGTATAAATTTTCTTCCATACAAATAAATATGCCAGTGTTCACATGCATAAATTGATGCAAGTGCTTCTCTTTCACAAGTTGAGTATTTTCTCTCTGTGTTACTCAAAGTTTTTGATGCAAATGCAACAGGTTTTTCATTACCTTGTCTGTCAATTTGTGACAATACAGCACCAACAGCATAACCAGAAGCATCTGTAGTTACAATAGTTTGAGCATTTGGATTGAAATGAGCAAGTATAGGTGGTGATGCTATGCTTTCTTTTAGCTTATTGACAGCATTTGACTGTAAGTCAGTCCATTCCCAAGGAATATCTTTTCTTAAAAGTTTCCTCAATGGTTCAGCAACATTTGCATAATTTTGCACAAATTTCAAATAAAAGTTAGTAGTTGCAAGAAAAGATTGTAACTCTTTCTTATTTTTAGGCATGGGAATATTCAAAATAGATTCAACATTTGACTCAAGTGGTAATACACCAGAACCAGAAATTTTGTAACCAATAAAATTAATACAATTTTTAGAAAATTGACACTTATCCACATTCAATGTTAAATTATACTCAGCAAGTTTTCTGAGAACTTTATTAAGCTTTTCATCATGGTCTGCTTGATTTATACCATGCATAATTACATCATCAATATTATTGACTGTGTTTTCACAATCTTTCAAAATCATGGACAGAATTTTTTGAAAACAAGAGGGCGCTGAACATAAACCATACGGTATTCTTTTATACTGATATATAGAATCATGTGTTATAAAAGCAGTAAGATACCTTTTATCTTTAGCTAATGGCACTTGTTCATAACTTCGACGCAAGTCAAGTTTCGAAAACACTGTAGAGCTATGAAATTTTGATGTGAGCTCTGTCATTGTAGGTAATGGATATTTATCAGGTATTATTGCCATATTTACTTGTCTGAGATCCACACATAGACGAATCTCATTATTTTTCTTAGGAACAATGACAATATTAGAAATCCATGGTGAAGTTTCAATTTTTTCAATAACATCATTATCTTCAAGCCTTTTCAATTCTGCAGACACACTAGCACGAACTGAAAGTGGTAACCTTCTCAGTTTTTGAGATATTGGCTTGACTGTATGATCAACCATGGGATCATGTTGGAATTTTGACACTTTACTTAAGCCAGTAAATACTTTAGCATACTTAGCACGAAAATCAATAGAATTCACAGTAGCACCATTACATGTAACTTTAAAATTCAAACGATCAAACAAATCAACTCCCATAAGACTAACTCCCTTTTTAGTTACAAAAAATGAAAATACATCAATGGTCTCATTTCCATACTGAATATTAGGTAAATCAATAACCCCAATACTTTCAATAGATGACCCTCCATATCCACACAATTTCTGGGTTGTGGGCTTAAGCTTATACTTTGAAAACAATTTTCTATACATGGTTTCATTCATTATTGAGATTTTGGCACCCAAATCAATTAAAAGCTTGGTTTCTATACCATCAATCATTAGAGAACAATGTTTAAAAATACCATTAACAGAATCACTGTTATTTTTAACAGAAAATACATTTTGCACATCATCACTTTGTTTTTGTGATGGCAACACTTGTCTTGTAGTCTTTTGTTTCAAAGACCTACACATTTTCATGAAATGATTTCTTTTGCCACATGCATGACAAATACGATTTTTAGCAGGACAATTCCTACTATATGAAGCATGAGAATTTGATCCACAACAAGTACAATGTTGTTTAGCATATGATGAATTTGCTTTTTGATTTTTCCATTGATTGTGATATCTTTGCCTTTGAATTCCTTGCACAATAGGATTTTCTTCTTTTTTGAACTTTGGTTTTCCATTGAAATTGGTTTCTTTCTGAATACGATGTGATTCTTCATGAGCAGTTTCAATTTGACAAGCCAGTTTTACTGCTTGATCCAAAGTCAGTGTATCAGGTTCCATGAGCAACCTTTCTCTAATTCTTGGTGAGATGGTGTGTTCGATTATTTGACCACAGATCATATCATCTGACATATCCGCAAAATTACACTCTGACACTATTTCTCTTAGTGCAGCGACATATTCTATTATTGATTCACCATCATGCTGTTTTCTATTCCAAAATAGATGTCTTTGCATTTTTACACTGTCTTTTTTACCAAACTGCTTTTCTAGAGCAGCAACTGCTTGTTCATAAGTATCTGTGTCTGATAACGAAGCAAATATTCTTTGGCCTTCAATGCCTAAACAATGCAGTAGAATTGCACGTTTTTTATCAGCAGATACATTTTCCTGATCAAGTCCAGTGGCTTTCATATACGTTTCAAAGCTATTGTACCAACGTTTCCAAGGTACTTGTGGTTCACCTGGACTTTGCAAGAAACATTGCGGTGGTGGTAAATGTAATTCAGCCATTTATCACACTTTTCTTCTCTTCCAAAATATGACGTCACCAGTAGTCTACTACCGTAATTTGCCTGTTTTCACTATGTCGTATTTTCAACGACTCTTTAAAAATCACCAATCCTCGTCGCCAATCTGTTGTGTCCCTGACACTGACTAATGAACTATACAAGAATCCAACTTGATAGAAACATCAGTTTAATGAAAACAAACAATAACAACGCTTAGCAAGCAAACTTATAACAGCGTACCGAATCACTAATGTCACATGAGGTTCTACAAGAATGATGCAATAGTAAACACTTAACGCCAGCTAGTGGAAACATAAAATACATGAAAAGTCAATACACAACACTGATTTATCCATTCACAGAGACGTTATTTCTGGGATGCATGACTTTAATCAGCGCGTTATTGAGCATTTTGCTTCCAAGAAACCGCGGCGTGTTGCATATATGTTCAAGCAGTAGAAGTCTAGCAGCATATATATCTATGAGTGAGCGACGCATGTCCTTATCTTTGTATTAACTTTCCTTTCTTCATAGTAACGTTTTAAACCTTATTTTAGGTTTGTCTGCTTTCCCGAAGTTTCTGTTAATATGTCATTGTATTTATTTGGGTAAATATTGCCTTTCCTTTTGAAGGAGGTTTCAAAATAAACGATGTCTATATTTATTAATCCCTTGACTTGGACCGGTTTTAAAGACACTTTCTTATCGTTAAAAATTGTCGCTTTTGCCGATTGGTTGTTACCTATGGAATGGTTTTTATACTCATAAAATGATGGGAGAACTTACCCCGCTCATCCTGTCCCCGTAGATGGGGGTGACTTGGTCCCGCAGTAGCTTGCCCCGGTTGTCAAAATGACCACGCGCCGCCACTGAGGGTTAGTATGAGTTCAATTGTCCGAAAAACAAAAAAAATTCCATAGGTGCAATAGCATACAGGTGCAATTGTCATGGGTTCAAATGCACGTGGGTTCAAATGTAATGAAACCAGTTGGTACACTTGACAGACGTTTTTCAAAGCATTTTGGTAGTAAGATGTGTGTCGCAAGGAAATTTCTTAGTCGCAAAACTACATTTACTCCTCTCTGCATTTGTTACATCGAATATCGCATTTACTTGATTTTTGTATTGACTTGAACATTGCGTCCGTTTAACTTGTGTAGTAATTTATTTGTTATTGTTGATGCCGTAATTTCCCTTGATTGACAGTGTGCTCCCTTCCACACACTTTGTTACGAAACAATTGGGAGAGTCTTCGTGACAAATGCTTGCCCAGACATGTCTCGCTTAGACAGGGATAGTTTCTATAATTTGCCTTGGATAGCGCTTTACTTTGGCACTCGTTTTGTTGTAATTTGGAAATAAGTTAAAATTGTTTAGCGACCTTGACTTTCTGTTTTGACAGTTGGACGCTTAAATAATGTAGATTATGGCTGCCCCACATAAGCCTAGTTTAAGGATATTTTATGAGCATTAGATTGCCTTTGTGATTGTTTTTACAGTTATAGGTTATTTAATTGATTTGTTCGGATTTCATTGACGAATGATTTCTTGTTCCACTTATGATAATTTAAGCCTGGGATAGCAGACAAATTCGGTAGATTATACTTTGTAATTCTTTCTGATTTGAAGGCGGCAAGTTATTTAATAGTAATTTGGTTCGAATTGTTAATTAACTATGTTTGATAATTGTGTTCATAAATTTGAGTAGGCTTTTTAAAGGCCGAATTGTGTGCGATTATTTATTCATTGCAAGTATTTTGTATTGATTTGTTTTTACGTTTGTATTAAGATAACCGTGTCAACTGTATACTTCGAGTTGTGTGATTTTCTGGATTGAGGATACAAACTTGGGGCTTGAAAGACCGCGTTATTGAACTGTTAATAAATATCTAGTGTGCAGTCGGTGTTGTCCAGGTCACGAAAAACGGCTGTTACTGCATTAGTCCCACTAAGTGGAATGAATGTGCATAGAGAAAAAAAGTGTCCCAACCTTCCCCACTTTCCCCTACTTAGAACCTCTACAACTGTAAAAAGTATTCTCCAGCCCTGAACCTTTGAATTATAGGAACCTTCACCATACTAGTATGGATAATGATAAGTTCATAACATTGAAGTGGGAACATAGATGATAACTACCGTAATATGTCCGGCAGAATCGGGCCTTAACATTGTTTTGGGAAATAAAGTTTTTTTTACTGTTTAGATATACTGTATATGACATATATAATGATACCCATGTGGGTGTGGAGTATATAATGTTGAGCAATTTTTTTTAAGTGGATTCAAAGTATTCGGTACAAGATGACGCACATCCTGAACCCTATCCTGGTAAACATACAATGTTCAGGTTGTGCGCCATCTTGGTACGAATACTTCAGGAGCGTCTTTTTGTTAAAAACAAATATTTCATAACTACATGGTTTAGTTTTGCATACATAGTAACACTGAATCTCCTTACAATGTCAGAAATTCAATTTTAGTAGAATAAAGGGTAGTTTATTTCATTAATACAAGCCAAGATCCATCGACAGCATCTAGCCACTTTCTATTGTGCTCTTCAAACTACATTTGCGTTGCCACGCGTATTTCGTTTTCCTAGTTTAAGCTTAGGGACTTGGGAAACATTTTATTAGTTAAATTGGATTGGAATATTTGACCTCGTCTTTCACTCCGAACAAGGCCATGTAAAACCATTCACTGGTATCTAAAGATGTGTAAAGTGTTTTCTTTTGGAAGAACCGCTACCTTTCAGTGCTGCATTGACTTTGGAAAAATTAATATATCCTTGTGGAGATAGAAGGTATGCGTATGCGAAACCGAGATGTGCACCTGTTATGCCAACATGGTTGAGTCAAACGTTTTGAATACTAGTACATCACACACATTTTCCTGCGTGCTTCGGTTGTACCTAGTAACGCGCACATTTTTGCGCACATGCATCAAATTCCACTTGATTGTTGAGCTATAGGTTTTTGACGAGCTTTTGTGTATGATTTCATTCCATAGAATTTGTATGCTGTTCTGAAGAATACTAGTTTCAGCTTTTTTATTCATTCAAACAGCGTGTTGAAAGTAAGTTTTGTAATATTGCGTGTTGGTTTCCAACATTCTTTAATCGGTGATGCCAGTAAATCTTTAATACAAAAAGAGGGGCTCCCGAAGTATGCGAACCAAGATGGCGGACATCGGAATGTAATATGTATACTAGGTTAGGGTTAGGCCATAATTTTAGGTATAAATACTACGGGAGGCTCTTGGCTAGTCTTCGAACTGATAATAGGACTAAAATAAGAAAAATTGAAAAAAAAAAAATTATCGCCTAACCCTAACCTGTTACCCATGTTACGTTCCGATGTCCGCCATCTTGGTTCGCACACTTCGGGAGCACCCAAAAAGATCAGTAACATCTGCAATAAAAACAGCAGGACCCACTCAAATGACAGCTGGGGGATGGATACTCTTAGTATCTGCTCCATCGCGTGCCTATTACAGTCTTACCAGTTTACATGAGTGCCAATTGGTATCTAAGCTCAGCCAGAGACAAAAAGTTTCGGACTGCGGTTGGCGTGACGAAATGTTTTTAAATATATATTCTACAATAAGATCATTTGATTGCATACCACTGAAAGTTCCGCCTTACATGTCTGACATAGTTCTTAAAATGTATAGATGGGTATAATCTTTTCCACGCTGTTCAGATGGGAATGCGCGAATATATATAAGAATTGCTAATATTTCTGCCTCTTGCAACTGCTGCGTATACTTATCGGGGAAGTCATGTGGCGTGGTTATCAAATGAAAAAAAAACATGGGAGTATTTTTTCTACTTCTCTACTACCATCAAACCTTGACATTTTGTGAAAACGTTTTTCCATGCAACCTTTTTTTAAAACATCCCCAACAACCACAATTAATTCTGTTATTAAACTTCCGAAACAAACAGATAAAATCATCAACATATGCATGTCACCAAGTGGATATTGCTGAGTTGATCTTTATTTTACAATTTTCCGTGTAATTCTTTTTGGTAAACCTGTTATCTATCGTAAATACAGCACATTTGACAATGTTGTAGTGTGACTATTTTGGCCTCACATTTTTGATATTTGTAGTTAGAGCTCTTGGGGCTCTGTCAAACAAAGTTACATACAAAATATTGGCTGTAAATTGCAAAACATGATCATGGTGTTGGAATAACTTGGCATTTTACCACCCGTATATCATTCATTGTTGAGAATATTAATAAAATCATAAAATTTAAAAATCCGTTTTCGTGAAATTTTTGTTGTAGTTGAATTCCACGGACAGCATGACAACAGGACTGGCAAGAGAAGCACGGTCGCTTCTTTTAATTTATGACAGGGTTTATTAAAAGGGGACCCCGACCTTGGGAGGCCGTTGATCGGTTATCTGGGAGCACGAACAAACAGATGGAAATGCGAATATTGAATAACAAGGTATTTTTATAGAAGAGAAGAAGCAAAAATGTTGAGAGTCTTTGGTAGTTTGAAAAGCATTGGCTTGGAACATAAGAATGATCTACATTCTTTTCCAGGGATATACTATAAAATGTAGCATTGTGATCATCCCGCTGCATAACAATTCTCGCTAACAAATAATTAACTGTTCTCCACCGGGTGTATATCCACTTGAGCCACTGGCGACTGCAATAGCAGGCTTGTATTGTTAATTGCAACAAAAACGGGTATTTTGAAATAGTACTCTTTATTTTACGCGTATCTTTCGACAGTATTTCCATATACTGTATATGGGTCGCGACCCGAAGCTGGGCTCAACAAATACCTAAACGTTAATGATTTTATTTCCTAGTAAATTTGGTGCTTGCGTAGTTTGTGCAGCAAGATTGCGCACAACCTGAACATAGTATTGTAACAGGTTATGGTTCATGTTGTGCGTTATCATGATGCACAGGTTTGACGAAAAACACTAATACAAATATCGAGCCGTAAAAAAAATTGCTCAAGGCTGCAAACTCCACAC